CCCCAAAACCCCAAAACCCCATAAATAATATATTAAATCTTATAAAAGATTTTTATTTAGGTATTTAAACTTAATTTTAAAAAATGACTAATAAAAGCTCTGAAGTTTCACGAATTAGACGTGAGATAGGTCAGTCACATTTTACTCTTGGCTAGAGTCCTCCTTGCTACACTACTACTTTGAAAGCCAGTTATGTCCCTGTTTTCTAGAGATATGACTCCTAACTTCGTAAGGATAGATTAAACGAAAACATGAAGACAAACTTTAATACGAATTAGGATTCTTTAGTGAAGCCTTCTGACTATCGAAAAAATGATTATGCTTACAGACCTATTCCGTCATAACAAAAACTGCTAAATCAAACAGAAATTCTAGCCTTAAGAAATACATTGAAGAGATAAAACTTTGAGATAGGTGACCGATTAGGTCCCAATTATGTAGATAAATCCTCCAACCATGATTATGGATTAACAGCATATGTTAATGTGAGACATTTACAGCCAGGAATCAGTAACACGTTCAAGACAACATTCGAACTAGGGAATGATATAGATGCTATGGCATAATTTCAAAAGAGAAGTAAGAGTGTATCAAGAAATTAGAGTGATTTTGCATAGAACCTTTTGAATGCAAAGCAGTCGTTTGATGAGAGGCTAAGAAATCAAGAGAAGATTTCACAAGCTTATATTAAAATTGGATCAGAAGCAGATAGAGCAGCTGATATGCTGTAAAGCGAGTCATAGCTAAAATACTCAGATCATTATAATGCTTCTAGGAACATAAATATCTACGATAATTCTTATGTGAAGTTTATCAAATAGCACAACTGGGAATACAGAGACGCTGCTGTAGCTCCTCCAAATGAGAAACCATCTCCTATGAAATCAGAGATTAAAGATTCTTATAATTATAAGGGATAAGGAGCAATAAACAGGTTATCACCTGAGAGGATAAAAGATTTCAAAAGTGTGCACTTTGAAATAGGTAATTAGAAAATGGGAATGCTTTTGAGTTCAAGTACTAAAGATGCTTTTGTAAGACCCAATGTGGATAATCGAAACATACAAAATGGAAGTGTTGCTTGGCAATAGAAGAATAAGTTCTTACTACTGGGACCCACTAATCATGGCAGTTATCAGACAAATAATAATGACACTTACTAGTGGAAGAGTACTTCCAATAGTGTGATTAAACCAAAATGAAATTGAAATCATGATACAATAAAATACTATCCTCATTTGATAATTTTAATTTTTATTTGAACAATCCTAAGTAATTCATTGTATCTACAGAAAATGGGGTTTTGGGGTTTTGGGG